TTAAATACAGTTCCTCATGTTGTGACCCAACCATAAAATTATTTTCGTTGCTACTTCATCACTGTAATGTTGCTACTGTTATGAATCGTAATGTAAATATCTGATATACAGGATGGTCTTAGGGGACCCCTGTGAAAGGGTCATTCAACCGCCAAAGGGGTCGAGACCCACTGATTGAGAACCGCTGAATCTGTGCTAATGGATTCCTCAAATCAAATATCCTCAACCAGCTGGTGTTGCTCAATGGTTGAACATCAACCTATGAACCAAGAGGTCACCAGTTCCATTCCCGGTCAGGGCACATGACTGGGTTGCCAGCTTGATCCCCAGTAGGGGTAGTGTAGGAGGCAGCCTATAGATGATGTTTATCTCTCATGGATGTTTGGATGTTTCTATCTCTCTATCCCTCTCACTTCCTCTCTCTCTAAAGATCAATAAAAACATGTTAACAAAACAACAATATCCTCACCACTGAGATAGCTAGTCCTTCTTGGGATTTTACTGAGAGCTTCATTTTGTCTTTAGAAACCACCCCACCCTCAAATCATATACCTTATAAAGAGTCAAGTGTTTACCTTGCCCAGATGTTCTAGTTCCATTTTTGATACCGGTTAAAATAAATATTGCGGAATAAAAATGAATTTAAATCAAATTCCTTGGTAGTTGAGCCTGTCATGTCTCAGAAGCATTTAGGTAAATGAAAAGAAGAAAATATACATGTTTAAAATTTATCATTAAACTTAAAATAATGCTAAAAGTTTTTTATATAATGACCAAGAAAAATAAATTACTTAATTATGTAAATGCTATACTTACTATTCTAATAATAAATTAAAAATCACAAGGTCATCATTTTCTCTAAGTCTCTTGACTCAGATAAAAGGTCCAAAATTTAATGATCTATATACGTATGTGGATTTACATAATTTTTATGAAGTATTTCTATATTAATCTTAACCATCTTTATTACAGTTCCTGCTCTTAAAACAACATTAAAAACCTTTTATATCATGATTATCCCTGGTTGTATAACCTTATTGAGAAAAATATTTGGTTATTAAGTACTGTACCAGAGGGCTTAATTTAATCCTTAACTGCAAAGATTTGACACTAGTTATGAGTGAATATCCAACTTATCAAATCAACAACAAGGTTTTTCATACAATACAGAGGACAGTGTGAATGTGATTATTGAATTCTCAATATGGTTTTTACTTAAAAATTACATAACAAGCATCCTTCACAGTAGTTGGTGTGCTATCACATTGGATTTAATAAAAAAAATTCTTCATGAAGACACAGTAAATCAGGCATAAAGACCTTTAAGTGTATAAGATAATTATTAAACAAGTGACGTTACACACATGGGACACAACAATTAGAGAAATACATTTCTTGGAAAATTAAAGACACTCTAACTCCAAAGCTTGTAAAGAAAATGTAAGATAATAGAAATACGTGGCTTTTTGCCCCCTCTTTAATTGCAATAATCTCTAGAAAACAATCCCTTTGAATTTGGGGAGATGACAGTGTTTTTCATGCCATGGCAGTTCGTTTTCTGTGGTACATAAAGTAATAGAAGAGACTTACTAGTATATTACTAGTATTTCCTTTGTTTACATACGGTCTTTTTAAAAAATCTATTATTTTGCTTCATGCCATTTGAAAACTAATTTTGTGCATGACCTAATTGAATGTACTCTTCTTTTGACTTGAAACTTATAAGAAGTAGAAAAGTCATCTGTTATAAAATTAACTAGAATTGAAAAGCTTTCTAAATTGTAATGACCATTCAGATTTTTTGAAATGCAAGTGATTACTATTATGCTTTATATCAAGTGAAACATTCTATTTTTACACTAGTATTAAAATAATAATAGCCCTCCTCATGATTTGTGACCAGTAAGTATCTTCGGATTTTGTCATTCTGATATTTCAGGTTTATGTATATCCAAATTATGTTTATAGGCATATTTACCTGTATCTTTATTAAAACAATGTACACTGAGAATGAAATTCAATATAATTGTGCGTAACACATTTGCAATTAACCCATCAATGATTTCTAACAGTTATTTAATATCCAAGAAATGCCCCAAGTCCTATTTTGCCAAGAATAAATTCACCTATTAAACTTTTCATGGGTTTGCAGGAATTCAGAAACAATAAAAATCAAATGGATTCATACTAGATAAAATTGTCTCGTTCTATCGATAACAAATTTCAGTAACATTAATGACATTTTACATTAAACCTTTGAAATATAAAAAAGATACATATTTTATGTATAGCATAAAACAGTCACAACACATTCTTCTCATAAGACATCTTCTCATTTGTGTTATTAGCACATAATGAGGTAAGGAGTTGACCCTTTGTTCCATAAATTGGCAGGTTTGGGGAACACCTATTTCTTTAATTTGTTCCATTAAGGTAACCATTAAGATAAGAGGATTTAAATCCAGACCTCTTAGAAGGATTTGTATATGAATGTATTGAGAGCAATGTGCACAGTCTATTATTCAACTCTCTCAGTTTCTCATAAAAATTGATGTTTGATTGCTTTTCTTCCCAGGTAATATTTATTCTTAGAAACTACTTCCAAAATGTAGCCTTAATAACTTAGTGTAAAAAAGTTGGAAATGGGAAGTGTTTTTACTAGAAACTCGCCATCCAGGTAGCCATAAAGCACACATGGGCTATAAAATCAGTCTTTTTTCACACTGCACTTGTAGCTCAGGGACAATTGTTTCATAAACTGTAATCTCTTGAACTGAGATGACATTGGGTGACATTCAACACTGGTACTCAGCCTCTTCTTTCAGACCTCCAAGCAGGCTGGCAGTGGTCCCTACTGTAGATAGCTGTGCAGTAAAACACTTTCTATCACATGGGATGATAAATAGGTGCCAGGTAGTATTATTTGGAGCAGTGATTTGGTTCTCAGATTTTAGGATGCTTCAGAATCACCTGTAGGGCTTGTTAACACACAGATTTCTGATACCACCTTCAAAAGTTTATGATTCAGCAGATCTAGGATAGGGTGAAAATTTGCATGTCTAATAAAATCTCAGGTGATGCTGATGCTGATATTTCAGGAACCACACATGGAGAATCACTGATTTAGAACAAAGGAATTCTAACTTCTGAGTCTGTCCTTGGCACACAACCACAGAACTATGATTTCTCTCTCTCTCTCTCTCTCTCTCTCTCTCTCATTCCTCTCATTCTTAAATGATAAACAACAACAAAAAAACTAGATATATTAGGGTCTAAAGATTTACCTCTTACTCTGAGATTTTACGTAGCTATTAAGGCATGTTATCAATAGTATCTGAAGTTATCTTCAAACTATTTAAAGTGCTAGCTTCTTTCACAATCTGAAAATTACAACTCCCCTTTCATGCAGCATAAATAAGAAAAAAGTTCTCAAATGTACAAAGGGAGAAAGAGGAGTTACAATACTTTATTTTATTGATATTGTTTTGCTAACTAGTAATATAATTTCAATAAACCTCACGTGAGAGTAGTTTTGCTTTAAGTAGTAAAAAGCACAAGGTAGTCCCCGATTCTAAAATTTGAAAATGACTCGTGTATAATTTGGTTGTATTACTTCTTTCGAAAAGTGATGAGTTGGGTAAAAGCAAGAAAAGAAGAGGATAATTTTTATCTTGTATGGAAATCTTTCTTAAATATTATTGTCCATATTTTTGTTTCAATAAATAAGAACACCCGCTCTTATATGAGAAGAGCAAGTTTTTACGAAAAGGTTTTTTACTTTCCATTTAATTTTGAAGTGAATTTTGAATCAGAAAAATAAATTTGAACTATTCAGTGCTTTGAACCCCAGAGCTTACATTTGTACAAAATATACTGCGCTCCTATCCGTCGGTGTGTAGGTTAAGAGCAAGCCCCTCCATTAGTCTAATCACCTGGCTTTCAGCCGCAGGCCTAGAGGCATTCACTGACATCAACAATGTCGCTGTAATTAAATAGAAACAAAAACAGTGCCAACCTTGGTAGGAACAGCATCCTGGGTGTCGCTGCTCTGTTGGTGTGGGAACCTGTCCCCCAGGACGCTTTGCTGCCTTGCGGACTGGATCAGCCTGCTCCCTCAGGAGACCTGAGCGCTTTTAAAGGCACATTTATATCCACCCCCACCTCATTCCCTCGCACACAGCGCAGCTGGTGCTTTCTGGTAGGTGTTTGATCAATGTTTACGGGATTTAAACAAAGGCAAATGTTTACCATCAATTCTTCATGGCATTAACCTGTGCGATAGGGAAGCCAGCTGGGATGTAGTGGTCCACTGCTTTTCTTTGCAAATTGCATTCCTCATGGAATCCACCAAGGCTGACTACATCATTTTCACTGGTTAGAAGAGTACAATGATGTGACTTTACCTTACTCTTAAATGTTGAAGTCTTAGAGATGGAAATTACTATGTATTCATAGTTACTCCAAAATCTTTATTCTAACACTGTGTCTTACTGGCCGTTATGTTGAGATGAGAAACGTTAGCAATGGTAAAGTTACAAACCTGAGAAAATTGTGTTACTGAGTGATAGAATTCATGAAACATAAAGTTTAATAGTATTACTTTTATGTAGTTTTGGAAGGTAGCTTTTGAGTTATCTAATATAATATGCTATTCTGTAAATAAATATTCTCTCAGATGTCACATCAGAATGACAGTCCCTTGTGATTCTTTTTTTTCTTTTTTTTTTTGAAACAATGAAGTCAACTACCATGTCTTTAATTCAGTTAGTCATTGCTACTTCTTTTAGTTGCCGAAAGGAAATTCCAGGAGAACTTTGGGTCATTTTTAGCAACCAGTTTGAATGTGAAATTGAAATAATTCGAATTGGAAATACTTAAGCATTTAATTCACACAAAGCATAATACAGAAAACTAAAAGTGAAATAGCCTGAAATTAATTCAGTTGCAAGTTAAACATCTAACATATTTAAATCAATCGTTGAGAACTTAGTTTAAACTGACTTTTATTTCCAAAGAGCAATAGGTTTTTCTTTTGCAAAAAATGGGTCCACAAAGTAATTTTAGCTTCAGATGGGTCAGATCATAAAATTTCCGTGAACAGAGATTTCAAAAAAAAGGAATCATTTTACTCAGGCATCCTTGTCATGTAAATCAATATTCTACCAGTTTTGAAGCAGCCCGGCCCCATTGGCTGCTGGGAGTGTGCTTATGCTGGTGAGCACGACTTGCTCCGAGAGTTTTGATATGTTATCAAAGTTGCTGATCTGGGTGGTCAGAGACTTTCTGCTCTCTGTGCTGGTCCGCCCCCTGGCGAGCCGATCCTCCTGGCGATGGTGAACGCCCATGCAACAGCATGAAAATGCAGCTTTAAATTCCTCTCGAAATTTTCCTGGCAAACGGGGGAGAATGAAAGGAAAAAGAATTGTGCGTAAATATGCCTTAACAAATCATGAGTAGGGTACAAGTGAGTGGCTCCCTTGAGCCAAACTAACAATGAGGTGCCACATTTTGCAAAGATGGGGAAAATAGGAAAAGGAAATTGCGTTATGGGAAGCATGGTAGACTCTTGAAACAATGAGGTATTTTCGTAAAATAATGAGACTGCTTTTCATGCTTGTATTTGGGGTCTGTCTCATTCCTTGTCTATTTGTGAGTGTGTGTTATTTTTAAGTAGTTAACTATAATAAAAGTGATCATCAGTAGAAGAATGTCCAGAAATACTTAATAATTTCAAAAATGATAAAACTTAGGTTGCACACAGCTGAAACTACACAGACTTACCCCTTTTACTCAGAAGAAACTGTTCTACTGAAACAATCAATTGAACAAAATATCTAGAAAAATATCTTAAAAGATCTACAAAGTCTAAAGTTTTATAATCTGCAGAGGCAGAACAACATTTAAAAAACACACATACCAACTTTAGAAGTTATTCCTTGTCTTTAAATTACTGACACGGAATTGGAGAGGTAGGAAAATGAAACAATAACCTTTTTCAGGGTAAATGGCAGTGTTGGGAATTATAATTTATTTTTTCTGAGCCTCAATTACCAAATTGGGTTATTGAGTGATTAAATGTGAAGATGAAGGTTAAGGGATAACACAACAGCAGGAACATAAGTCCCCAGTGATTATCAGCTCACTCTTAACCACATAATAGCATTTTGACTTGTTCTGTGGCTTCTGTTTCAAACATTTCCCCTTACAACCTCCTAATAGGTTTTACCTGCTTAGTGCAAGGCTCAGCGCTTTAGGCATCCCTAACCCCTTGCCAACTGCTTCCTCACTGCTTTCTGTGTCACAGTTCCACTCGCCCCTTCTCCCTTCGAACAGCGCGGAGCAGTCTTATCTGGTTGTCTCAGACCGAATGTAGTTTTTGTTTTGGAAACTGGAATTGGGTGTGGCAGGGAAGGCAATGAAAAGGGGCTCCTGGACACAAAACAAGCCTCCCACACATACCACCTGATTTTCTGAAAGCTGAACTAAAACAGATAACACATATATAGGGTATGTGCAATGTTTGAATAAAAAGTTATTTTTAAAGAATCTTATTGACTGCTTTTTTATTTTTATAACCCAGAAGGCCAAATATGAAGTTACAAAATGCACATACTTTATTAAGTGTGCAATAAAGTAAATCGCTTATCGCTCCATATATAATTATCAGATATTTGGAAGCAGAAATGAAAAAGAAATAGCCAACCAGTTATAGAATGAGACAATGTAAAGATGTAGCTAATTGGAACACAGTTCTAAAAGTCAATCAGACAAAATGTTTGAAAATAAAACAATAATTAGCTAAATAATTTTAACCATTGTATGGATTCATAAACAGGTTAAATAAGTTACAGATGTGTGTGTGTGTGTGTGTGTGTGTGTGTGTGCGTGCGTGCGTGCACGAGCGCCACTTAGCTTAGGTGTTATTTAGGAGGAATATCATTTTTTGTGGTCAGTGAGGAATCTTGAAAAAAACCCAAGAGATGTTACACACAAGATTAATGTGAATAGAAAAGTTCCTAAAAGTGAAAGGGTTCCAATTCAGTCTCAATTAGGCTACAAATGTTGGGCAAGGAGATAATGTAACATGGCTATTTTATTTTCAGATAAACTTATTTTACATTTTTAGAAATTAACGTTTAATGTAGGACAAGCAAGATTCTGTGGTATTCAGGTCTCACAATTTTCACTTTCTTCCTATTTCAACATTTCTTCTAAATTTTATGGGGGAGGGGAATCCCTTAGATAATTTTTTTCTGTTGATCTAGGTAATGTGTTCCTGCTCATAAGGAGAAAACCTCAAGAAAAATCACATCAGTAAAAAAAAAATCTCACTGTATAGCACCTAAGCTCTTCATCTAGTTCAAGAGTGTTCACAACCTCTGGTCATTGGTCCCTCACCCTTGGTTAGAACTATGGCTTAAATAGAAGAAACAGTTGAAAACTTACCACTGAGAAAATTATAAATAATTGGGTTCACAGCACTATTGGCATATACAAGCCAGTGTGAAAATGTAAACCAGGCATACACAGTCTCTCTGTCTTCTGCGTGAGTAAACATCCCAAATACTCTGTAAGCAAAGAAAGGACAACAGGAAATCTAGTGTGATTCTGGTGAGTATCTTTTCAATAATTACGCTATGCAAGAGCAAACAAAGAGATACACATTTGAAGAAAATGTGTGTGCTAAAGAGAACAATGATTTTTGAGGTTATTTATTTATTTATTATGTGGAAAAAAACAGAATGCTCAAAAAATTGAAAATATTTTAAACTAAACATGGACTTTCTCCTTAGAAAGCAATTTCCTTTCCTTGAAAAGGAAGGTATTTAAGTTGGAAGAATAAGAGAAATATTGTGGACGTGTAGGTATTTGGAAGTAGCTTAAGGAAAGTACAAGTGCTGAGATGCAGGAAATCCAAATGAGCATTCCAGAGAGCAGTAAATCTAATTTTCATTGAATTTAGATGGACTAAAATAAAAGTACAAAAAAAAAAGAAAGAAAGAAAAAAGCAAGGAGAAAATTCATCCAGTTTCACAGCATATTTACAAAGTTCTTAGGGGCTGAAAACGTCATTTGGCAAAAGATCACAATAAATGTGTATAGGATTGCTATGGGCAAGAAAAAATAAGAAGGAAAATATGGAAAGATATGGAGAGTCAAGTCGCTCATTTATTTGTGAGCCAGTATATGTCTCAAGGACCCAGGCGGCTGAAATCTTTTACATTTCACACTGTGCCTGCAGTTAATAATGTTACTAAACAAAAGTGCATTTTCCACTTTTCCGCCATTGAAAAAGCCACAAAGCAATCAATAAAAGGGCCAAAGAGAATGAGAAATCTTTGCAGCTGATTCTACCACCTTTTGTCTGTGCGACTCCAGCCAAAGCTCTCTCCAGAGTCCCCAGCTGCGAGGAACATGATATTGACCCTGAATCGGGGAAAAGTGAGAGCAGCAAACCTAGTTGTAGTTCTAAGTCTATTACAAACAGAATTAGAATTACTTTGGGACCAGTCTACGTGCAGCGGTTCTGATGATTCCCAATAAAGTTGGCTGGCCATGAAGTTCAAGTGTACCATTCATTGCTCCTGCATCGGCTGTGTTTGCGTTGATCAATTGTGTTAACTGAAATGCGTCTGCAATGTAACACATGACAGACTTTCTCTGGCTGAAAAATTTTGAACTGATTTTTTAAAAATTAATATTCACCCTGAGCTTGATTCAATGACTTTAGGAAATGGATTTTCTTTCTTTCTGTTTAAACGTTCAAACACAGTATGTGTCATGAGTTCATTTTTGTGTGCATGTGCTCACAAATATACTTTTAAGCATAACTAGAATGCTAACAAAACATTCTTATCTCTTTTTTAGACTTGAGATGGAATTCTGTCACAATTCCCCATGTCTTTGAAAACTTTGGAAAATCCATTTGTTCTGATCAAAAGAGAACTCCCCGCTGTAAATGAGTTCTTTTGCATTAGACCTTTTTTTCTGCAATTAGATTGAAGAGATCAGGGAACCTCTGCTTTGTGTCTGCCATTCAACAGAGAATTTGCATGGACAAGAGCATTTACAGTCTGAGCACGCCAAATGGATGTTTGCCTTACCTGCTGGTAACAGCAATACAGTTATCAAGCCTGACAAGCTATCTACGCAGAGGGCTTCCGTTTTTCTCTTTAAAAAAGAAGTTCTTAAGAAGCAAGAAATGACAGGTCACTTTATTTTCAAATAATAGGTAAACTTTACCTCTTTAGCACGTTGAGGATGCTAATTGGTAGATAGCAAATTGCAAACACCAAAAGCACCACCATCAGCATCCGGGCTGTTTTTCGTCTGGCTCGGATCTGCTTTATTTCAGCAGCCACGGCGCTAATCCTGGACTTGGTCTGCTGTCCTGACCCTCGAGGCTGTGAAACAGGCTGCAGGGGCTTCCATTTCCTCTGAACCACAGATGATGTGCCAGGGATCTGAAAGAAGTGGAGACCCTCTATTGCTATCTGACTTCGGAAAGTTCCACTTTGGAGAAGTAATTATACGACACAGTAAGGAGGAGCGTGTCCCAGACACCCGTGGTCTGAGAGGTTCAAGAGCCTGTTTCCCTAGAATGTTTGAATGGAGCATGTTCTTGAATAATGCGTCCAAGTGCCAAATAGGAGTTCAAATGGGAAAAAAAAATGTGGAAACACCACACATTTGTCAAGGTCTAAAAAGAGCTACAAATGGAAAAGCTATCTCTTTATTAAAAGAGAAGTCATATATCCAGACAATGGAATATTATTCAATGCTATAAAGAAATCAGCTATCGCCCTAGCTGGTTTGGCTCAGTGGATAGAGCATGGGCTTGCAGACTGAAGGGTCCCAGGTTCGATTTGGGCCCAGGGGCACATGCTCGGGTTGCAGGCTTGAAACCCCCCCCGACTCCCAGTAGGGGGCGTGCAGAAGGCTGCCGATCAATGATTCTCTCTCATCATTGAGGTTTCTATCTCTCCCTCTCCCTTCCTCTCTGAAATCAATACAAATATATTTTTTAAAAAGGAAATCAGCTATCAAGCTATAAAAAAGAGAAACGTTAAATGCATATTACTTAAAGAAGCCAATCTAAAATTGCTACATATATGATACAATTACAATACACCTTGGAAAAGATAAAACTATGAATACACTAAAAAAGTCAGTTATTGGCTAAAGGGGGAAGGGATGAATAGGCAAGTATAGAGGATTTTTAAGACAGTGAAAATACTCTGTATAATACCATAATAATGGACACATGTCATTATATATTATACAATGTATTTGGATACAGTGTCCAAACCTATAGAATGTACAACATCAAGAGTGATCCATAAGGTAAACTATAGACTTTGGGTGGTTATGATGTGCCAGTGTAGGTTCATCAATTGTAACCACTCCTCTGAACAGTGTTGATAATGGGGGAGCTGTGCCTAAGTGGAACTGGGACAAGTAGGAATTCCCAGTATCTTCTACTCAACTTTGCTGTGAGCCAAAATTGCTCTAAATCAGCGGTTCTCAACCTGTGGGTCGCGCCCCCTGAAAATACATCCTGCATATCAGATATTTACATTACGATTCATCACAGTAGCAAAATTACAGTTATGAAGTAGCAACGAAAATAATTTTATGGTTGGGAGTCACCACAACATGAGGAACTGTATTAAAGGGTCGCGGCATTAGGAAGGTTGAGAACCACTGCGACAAAATAAAAACAAACTCTTAATTTAAAAAAAAAGAGGGAAATGAAAACTGGCTAAAACAGTAAAGGGATGACAACCCCATTATCTTCTTAGGAATCCTGGTTCAGCTCAGATACCAAAGTTTAAAGAGAAGGAAAAACGCAGGTAACTGCAAGCCACCTGAATAGATTTTTCATGTATCACTACTGCCATCTGCTGCCCGCTGGAGAGATAGGACTTAGCTACCTTTTGCTTTTAGGTTTTTCGGCTTCTCAAGTTTGGCCCATGCAAACCTTTGAATGAAGGAAGGAAAAAAAATTCTTTGTTGCTTACTATGTATTGTTATGAAATTTCTTGAAACCAGTTTTATGGTCTGGCACTTTAACATGCACACAAAAACACTGAGAATCCCTTGTGGTCTTACATTAACATTTCAGATACCTGGAATTTGTAAAGACAGTTATACAACTTGTACTTTTCCATTTCTTTTCAAAGTTACTTGATAAAAGCAGGGAGTCCCTCCAAGTATAATATTTTCTTAATTATAAGCTCATGGAGATTGATAGGGTTTAGTGAGCAAAACAATAAAATTCAGCATGTGTAATTTTTTTAAAAAGGAAAATGTGCCAGCAAGCACACCATACGGCCATCTTAGTTCTATTAAGATCATTCAGCTGTTGCTTTTATGTCTGTGCTGCAAACCCCGACAGATCAATGTGTCCCTGTGGCCTCTCCGAATGGATGTTGGATGGGTTTTGTTGCTTTATACATCACAAGATCCAAGTGTGTTAGATAATTTCTAATTTGAGAAGAGACTTTTACTTTGATGCTCACACAGATGAATGAACATGATGCTCCTTTTGGCCATAACTATTCTCTCTCAAAAAGAAGCAAAAGAAGTTAATAGAAACCTGCCCTCAATTAGAAAAAAAATAGATAATGATTTATCTTCTGATTCTACCTATCCTGTCATGAAGACTAACCTTTTCATATAGGTCCCCTCAAAATTCTTACCATTGGTTGGCAGGAGGCAGGAGCTGAGAATCTTTCCTATGCTGTGAGTCTCTTTTTAAATAGACATTTAAAAGTATAATGGCATTGGAAAGTTCCAGAAGACCTTTAGTATGAATAACTCTATAAATATCTGCTAAATGGCCTTGAACTGTTTTCTAAATGATCTCTGAGAGATCACTTGAACCTTAGCAGTTGTATTATTGAGTGTTCCCCTGAAGGAGAGGTTCAACAGTCTGCATCTGATGACTTCTGCAACCATCAGAAACAGTCCCCATGAAGGGGCTCTGTCCCAGGGAGCATGGCTCTGGTCCCTGTCACCAGGAAAAAATACAAAAAGACGTGATAACATCTCCTCTTGTTTCTTGGCTAATTTAGTTAAAGGTTTGTCATTATCTCTGATCTTTTAAAAGAACTTTCCGTTTTATTGAATGTTTTGTTTTTATTTTTAATAAAGTCTGCTTAGTTATTTATTTAGGTGCAGTTGTTATACAATATTGTATCAGTCTCAGGTGCACAACATAGTGATTCAACATTTATAGACCTTACCATGTGATCACCACAATAAGTCTAGTAACCAGCTGTTACCGTGTAGCTATCACAGTATTGCTGACTATACTAGTATTCCCCTCCAGCTTTTTCACCCATCCCTCCTCCCCACTCCCCTCTGGCAACCATCAGTTTTATTTTTTTAAATGTTCATTTCCTTTCTATTGACTTTATTGCGGTGACATTGGTTAATAAAATTATGTAGGTTTCAGATGTACAATTCTATAATACATCATCTGTATATTGTATTGCATGCTCATCACCCCAAGTCAAGTCTCCTTCCATCACAATTTATCCCTATACCCTCCACCACCTCCCCGCCCCCTCCATAATCACCACACTGTTGTCTGTGCCACTTTGAATGTTTTATTGTTTTATTATACTTTATTTGCACTCTAATCTTTATCATTTACTTCCTGCTATTGGCTTTCGTTTTTAATATTTTTTTCTATTTATAATCTCTGAAGATAGAATGTTATGTTACTGATTTGAGATTTTTTATTATTATTACAGCTGTAAATTTCCTTCCAAACACTTCTTTGGCTGCATTTCATAAATTTTGGTGTATTGTTTTTATTTTCATTCATTTCAAAGTATTTTCTAATTTCTCTTGTGATTTCTTCTTTTACTGATTGGTTATTTTAAAATGTAATGTTTAATTTCCATATATTTTTGAATTTCCTAATTTTATTTCTATGGTTTATTTTTTGTATAAATCCATGGTAGTAGAATAATGCACTTTTTATTATTTCAATCATTTCATTAATGTACATTTTTATTATTTTAATCACTTTAAGTGACTCTAGGCTCACTTTATGGCCTATCATATGGTCTGACCTGGAGAGGATTCTATGTGCTCTTGGGATTCCATGCGCTACTGGGATGAATGTGTATTCTGATTTTTGAACAATTTTTTGCAGATATTTCTAGGTCCATTAGGTTGGTAGTTTTGTTTAAGTCTTCTGTTTCCTTATGGATCTTCAGACTAGTGTTTCTACCTACTGTTGAAAAAGGGGGATTAACATTTTTAACTATTATTGTTGAATTGTCAGTTTCTCCCTCCAGTTCTGTACTGTTTACTTCATGTGCTGTGGGTTTCAGTTGTTATGTGCAGAGAAGTTTAAAATTTTTATGTTTTCCTGATGCACTGACTTGTCATTATGAAATGTCCCTCTTTATCACAATTATTTTTGTTAAAGTCTCTTTTGTCTCAATATGGCTACTCCAGCTTTCTTTTTGGTTACAATATTTTACATTTAACCTATTTGTCTTTGAACATGAGCTGTGTCCCTTATAGATAGCATAGAGTTGGATCATGGTTTTTTGCTTGTTTCACATATCCTACCAATCTCTGGAGTGTTTTATTCATTTATATTTAATGTAATTATTAAGAAGGTATAATTTACATCTGCCATTTATATATTCTCTCTATATATTATGTCTATTTTGGTCCTCTATTTTCCCATTTCTGCTTTATTTGTGTTAGGTAGACATTTTCTAGTATAGCAATTTAATTATCTTACTGAGTCTTTCTGTTTAGATTAATGCCAACATTTTTTCATCTACTTTTCTTATTATTGCGGTTAAACCTATATAACAAAACTTAAAATTTCACCATTTTTAAAATAAGACTTAAAATATTATTCTTCAATTACAGTTGAAATACAACATTATTTAATTCTCAGGTGTATGACGTGTGATTTATGTTTACATATCTTTACCAAATGATCATTGCGATAAATAGTTATTACAATATTATTGACTATATTTCCTGTGCTGCATATCCTCATTTACATTTTTATAACGGACAATCTGTACTTCTTAATCGCTTTCACCATTTTCACTCATTCCCAAAACCGTCCTCCCATCTGGAGACCATCAATTTGTTCTCTGTGTCTATGAGTTTACTTTTGTTTTATTTATTTTGTCTTTTTAGATTCTAGTTAACATTGATCTTAGTAATACTGTGTTGGATATGTCTCCTAGGGCAAACTCAACAGTAGCAAAAATAAACAAGTGGGACTACATCAAACTAAAAAGCTTTTGCAACAAAAAAGAAACTATCAATAAAACAAAAAAGCAACCCACTAAATGGGAAAATATATTTGTAAATGATATATCTGATAAGGGATTAATACCCAAAATATATAAATAACTCGTACAGGTCAACATCAAAAAGACAAGCAAACAAGTGATTTAAAAATGGACAGAAGACA